CGTAGGTATGATAACGTGAGTCGATTCCCGCCATGTAAAGTCTGTAGGTGTGCGTCGTGTATAATTATTGTTGTAATATGATGCTCATACGGCAATAATACAGGGTGCTTTTGATCATACGGTAGTAGTGAATTTTGTAGTCTTCCACCAACTCGTATTAGTCCATCTTCGTCTATAAACGGGTCTAAAGTCGATAATTTGCTTCCTTTCTTTAATGTCTGTCCTTTTTTTAACACCCAGTATTCTTGTGCGAATGCGTCTTTTTGTACTTGTTTAATAATGTGTTTTGTCGTATTCTTTAATTCTTCGCAAGTCAGTTGCTTCGATGTTTTTTGACGTCGTAAAAATCTCAAGCAGTAAGAAACAACTTTTACTAATTTTGAAAAACTGGAAAATCTCTCCCACACTTCGTTATTATTTTTTATTTCAACAGATGTTTGATGACAGTGTTTTATTTCTTCATGTGGCTCTGGTATTACTTTAGTGGTGGTAAAATTGTTTATATGAAGCCATTTCGGTCCGTTCCACCATAACTCACATGTTTGTAACTTTTTGGGCTCTATACCTCTCGATATGATGTCTGCTGGGTTATCTGCAGACGCAACGTGATTCCAAGTAGCCTGTGGTAGCGTTCGTTGTATCTCGGATACTCTATTTGCAACAAATGTTTGCCATTTGTCTGCTTCGCCTCTTATCCATCCGAGTGTGATCATGGAGTCTGTCCAACAATTGATTGTTGTTTGTTCGCAATCGAGCGCTGTTTTTACTTTCCTAATTAAGTTCGTTAATAAAACAGCTGCACATAATTCGAGCCGAGGCAAGGTCGTTTTATGCTTCTTAGGAGCTACTTTTGTTTTAGCTTGCAATAAAGTCACGTGATAAGAGCCATTCACCTTTATACGGCAGTACACGACTGCACCGTATGCTTTTTCTGATGCGTCACTGAACCCGTGTAATTCGACCTCTGTTTCGGTATAATAAATCCACCTTGGTATTTTAATGTTTTCAATGCATTTTAATTGATTTTGAATCTCAAGCCATTTTTTGTTTATTTCTTCTGGTACTGTGTCATTCCAGCCTATCCCACTGATCCAGAGTTCTTGTATCAACAATTTCAATGTAATAATGACAGGTTGGAGCCAGCCATGGGGGTCAAACAATTTTGCTATTTCAGATAAAATAAATCTTTTTGTTGGGTTCTCTTTGATCGTTACGTTTATTTTAAATTGAAAATTATCTTCATGTGGTGACCAAATTACTCCTAGTGACTTTCTGGTTTCATCTAAGGGTAGTTTGATCATTTTATCGTCTGTGTATTCGTCAGGAATGTCTTCTAACAATTCGGTGCTATTTGACGACCATTTTCTCAAGTTAAATCCTCCGGCACGCAGCATCTCTAGTAGTTGTTTTTGTAACAATTTTGTTTTCTCGAGGTCATTGTTTCCTGATAGGATGTCATCAACGTAGAAGTCTTCTAGTGTCGCTCTACTGGCGTCGGGGTAGTTTTGTCGTTCGTCTTTTGCCAGTTGTTGTAGAGTCTTTGTGGCTAGATACGGGGCGGCAGTAGTTCCATATGTAACTGTTGTCAATTCGTATTCTTCTATGGGTTGTCTTGGGGTCCATCTCCATAATATTCTCTGGTAGGAGAGGTCATCTTTGTGTATTTTTATGAAACGGTACATTTTTTCAATGTCCGCCATAAATGCAAACTTATGTTTTCGCCACCGTAATAATATTGTCGCTAAATCCTGCTGTAAACGAGGACCCTTATGCATATTGTCGTTAAGGCTTATATTTGTGCTCGACTTACTACTTGCATCGAATACACAACGAAGTTTTGTTGTTATCGCGTCTTCTCGTATTACCGGTTGATGCGGAATGTAATATTTTCCTTCATAGTAACTTGATTTTACTACTTTTGTCATATGACCCATTTCTAAGTATTCATTCATAAATTCGTTGTATTTTTGTCGTAGGTCATGGTTTTTGTCTAGTTTCTTTTCTAATTGTATGAGTCTGGCGGCGGCTTTTTGACGCGTATTGCCGTACTCTATCGAAGGGTCTTTCAATGGTAGTCTGACTGTATAAGTTCCGTCGGAATTTCTTTGGGTCGTGTCTGTATAATATTTTTCACAAATTTGGTCTTCTTCTTTTAATTGGTATTCGCTTGTCACTTCTTCAAGTTCCCAAAATTTTGTAAGTTGTTGTGTTTCTTCGGTGCGTGTCATGAGACTTATAATTTTCATTCCATTCAAATTTTCTGTACAGCAAAATCCAGACAATATCCACCCTAATTCTGTATTTTGGGCGATAATGCCGTTTTCTAATTTTTCAAACCCTTGTAATAATATTTTGCTATATTCTTCGGCACCTAAAAGTATGTCAATTGGGCCGCGTTTGTAATATGTTGGGTCAGCAATCATTTTGTTTTCCATAATTAAGTTATTTATTTGTTGTAGATTATGCTTCGGCAGTGCACCGGTTAGCTTCGGTAATACGATCAGCGATGTCGATAATTTATAAGTACTGGGAAATCTCGGCTTTAGTGTGACATCAATCATATGTCTGGAAGTCTTAGGTTTTTCGTCTGCAATACCTTTTATTTCTGCTTCTATCTTTTGTCTGGGGTACCCTAGTAGTTGCGCTACTTCCTCTGTACATAAGGAAGCCTCAGAACCTTGGTCGCATAAAACTCGTAACAAATGTAAAGTGCCGTCGATTGCTGTTATCTGTACTAAGGCTGTGGCTAGAAGTATTGTTTTTTGTGTTCCATGCGTTTTCGTAGTCGTATTTGAAGTAAATTTTTGCACTGGATTTTGTTTTAGTTGTGGCTTAGGTACATATGATTTAGATGAGCTTGACTTCGAATAATTTTTTATGTTTTCGTTTGCACTAGTTTGTCCCTGCGGTTTTGCAAGTAAATATTCGTTAAAATTACGATGCAACAGTGTGGAATGCGCCTTATTACATATATCGCATTTCTTATACTTTAGACTGACGCATTCTTTCTTCGTGTCGTGCATTAGACATAAATAACACATTTGTTTTTCTTGCACTTTTTTAATGCGGTCATTTACTTGAAGGTCTTTAAACGCCTGGCAGTGGTGAATATTATGTTCGTTATGACAATACCAGCATTGCCCTTTTTTGTCTTGCCAGTATGATTTTTCTTGGCTTTTTACTGATGGTGGGACGTATGTGGTATTTACTGTAGTTGAAGCTTTGCTTGACTCTAAACTTTTGAATCGTTTTTCTAAAAAGTGCATCATTTTTCCGAAATCTTGTAATTTGTTTGTCTCTTCTAGTTGATCTTCATATTTCATGTTAGTATCTTGGTCCCACTTGCGACTTACTAAACGGGTTAAAATCGGACTCCATGAGGATATATCAATTTTCTGGTTTTTTAGTGCCTCTAAGCTCTCATTGATACAGTCGTGCATATTACGCAACATTTTTGCATTTGGAAGCTGAATTTTTGGTAAATCTAATAACTTGTCAATAAATTTTTGTGCTATAAGTCTCTCGTCTTTGTATCGTTTTTCCAGCAATGTTAGCGCCGCCTTGTAATTGACCTCATTTACTGTCAAATGCTTGATTAGCTTTTCTGCGTCGCCGCGCACGTGAGTTTTTAGGTATTGCATTTTTTCTGTTGTCGAAATGGTACAGTCGTCGTCAATAATTTTCTTGAATAAATCGTAAAATGAGTTCCATGATTCATAACTTCCCGTGAAAATTGGTATGGTAATTCTTGGTAACTTTGTCGATTGAGTCTTGTTATTATGTGTGTCTTGGTCGTAAATTTTTTCTCGTAGTTTGTCTAATGTAGCGTCTAATTCTTCCTGAATTGTCGTAAAGCAATCGTCTACAAAATATTCGTCGTCGAGTGTACTTTGTTCTATAAGTAATTGAATATGACTTTCTTCAATTTCTTGAAATTGTTTTTCAAGAGTCTTTGTCAGTGATTGTAAGTGCCACGCTGGTTTGTTGTCAGCGATGGCCGTCATTGCTGTCCATATCTTCTTCCTAATTTGCTTTAGTCTGTATTTTTGTACGAATATTTTCGGTGAAATTGTCTTGTCGTTGTCTTCTTGGTCATTGGTTTGATCAAAGTTTATGTCTGCGATGTCTATTAAATGTTGCAGTTTGTCTTCACATTTAGTCAAATGGTCTATGGCCGCCTCGTAGTTTGCCTTAATGTGAGTGTCGAAATAGTTTAACGTCTTGTATTTATGTGTCGATATAATTTCTTGGTCTTCTAATAGTCTGTGGTTTTGTAGTGCTCTTTGATAAACGCTGTCTAAATATATTTTTCTGTCTTCAATATATTTTTGTGTCTTTCTTGTCGATGAATCCTTTTTGATGTTATCCCAAATCCTTCTTATTTCATTGTAATCATTTTCTTGACTTTTGATGAGTTCGTTGATTTTTGTAATGTCCATTGTCTTCTTTTTTATTTTTTCTGTCTTGCTGTCCTACGTACCCTACCCTACTCCTATTCAAACTACAAGTCAGTACTTAGTGTTCCTGCGCCTGTAATACGGTATTGGAAGGCCAGCGACCTATCCGCTATCGTACGAGTGCTTTCCAACAGTTACACTAAGTACTTAGTCTTTTTAGATTACAACGTACTGGTGCTTTGTAGTGTACACCAACACGCAGCTCTCTAAAATAGTCTGTCAGTCACTGTCAATTCCCTAGGAGGGTTCGCGTAGTTCAAATGCTCGAAGGACCAAAATGTACAGTCAACTACCTAGCTGTAGCTAGCTGGCTATACATGAGTGGTCAGGGAAAGCTGTACTATCACTAACAACCCTAGTTGCCTACCTAACAGCCTAGCCCTAACCATACGCTACGGAATATATACTTATATAAATAGTAGGGGAAGCCTGTCACCGTGCGACCTAAGGCAACAGACGGAAAGGGGGAAGGATAAGGGTGCTTTAGGAAATGGTTTTCTCACTGCCAGTCTCACAGACTCACAAGACTGATCAGATAAGCTAACGGCTAAAGGTGTCTTGGCCGCAGTGAGAGGATGCTGTAGTCAGGAGTGCTCCGTTGTCAATAAGACAGCGTTGATGTCTGAATTCAAAGAGGGTTTTATTTACAAAACTTAAGCTATTTATACAAAACGGTATTTATGTGTGTGTGACTATAAACAATATTATTTTTAAATGTATACATAAAGTTAACTACTCTACTCAGCAGCCTAGTTCAGAACGGTCATTGCACTGCTGAGTAGTCTATTGTCATCACTTAGCAAATGTCCGGTCAGGTTGTCTGTTTACGTCGCGTGCACGTGAACATTTTGGCGCCTCTCACGAAAAGGCTTTCAGTTCGTAAAGTTGAGGTGCAGGTGACTTCTTCCTCACAGCTGGCCGTGCGTAGATATGTAGCTGTGTCTTTGGCTGAATTGGAGTTGCAGGCCTGCTGGAGGGTTGCTGCTCGGTGCTGTCGTCGGCAGGCTGGCTGCTACCATGGCTCGTAGTCTTTGTGCTATCTGTGGACCACAACAGTATATTAATAAGGCAAAAAGGGAAAATATTATTAAGGAAGTAAAACTAGCTACGTATGTTTGGGTACTTATGCTTTGCCAAACAGTATTGTCTAGGGTTGTTTGTAATGTACTTTCTTTATTTACTAAATTATTAAAAATATCTTTAGAGCTATCTAAAACCTGTTCCTTAGAAAAGTCATTAGTCATTAATAAAGATCTGTTATAGTCTAATTTAAACTGACTAGTCCTACTATAAGAAGCTAAAACATTAGTTGAAATAATTCTTTTCGCAGCTAATGTGGTAGTCATTGTTTTTATTATGCAGTTTTCTGAAATTTGTATTATTCCAACATCGTGGATGGAGACTTCTTCTCTTTGCCCGTCACACACAATGGACACAGTTTTTGATTTCTTTGTCAAATATAACCAAGTATTTGTCATTTGAACTCGTTTCCATACTACGTCACTTGCCAAATTGTAACTTTTTGTCGGGCAGTCTGTATTGTTTTCATTTTTAGTTATAAGTCTAACAATGCAATTTTTATTCAATTGCATGTTTTTCACCGCCACAGGGAAACAGATGAAGTTGTTGTATCTGTGCAAACAACTTTTGAATTCTTCATGAGTAAGTCCAAAGTAGCGTTCATTATTGTAGTCTATTCCTATAAAAGGCTGAGAAGGGTCTATGCTTTGGAATGTTCCATCTGGATGTTTCACTGGTACGGGCGTCACGTGTAACAATGTGTATTTTGCTTTCTCTGCTATCGGGAAGTAAGATAGTACTCTGATATGTGTCTCATTTTCTGCTAATTTGGTGTCAATCAGCTGCGTCTGTATGATGTGGAGATTGGAGGGTAATTTGCTATTTGCGTCTTCTATTATATCAGCTATGTCTTTTGGAGATATTACACTATATACAGTAGCTTTTGCTAGATATATCTCCATCAGTCCTGAGTAGTAGTCCATAATTTCTTTAATGTAATTATAAGCTAATTGGTATGACTGCATTACTTGAATTTGTATGCGATCCGCGTTGATTGACTTATACCATCTATTGTTATCATTAATGTAACTTATAGCTTGATTTAGCTTTGTTCGAAATCTTTCTAGCTTTCCTTGTATTCTCTGTTCTGTCTGGTTCACTGCTGATATGGTGGAAATCATGAATTTGGTCTGATGATTTGCTGTATCTATGAGATTTTGCTGGTTTTGTTGCAGTGAGTTAATGTCTCTATACACTTCATCGTTCACACCAAATATGGAAGTCAAGAGATGTCCTAATAAACCTCTTCTTTTTCTGGTGTGATTAATTTCAGCCAAGTAATCGTATGTTCTTTGAAATGTGTTCTCTTCTTCTCGCAGGTGATCATAGTATTGAGAGCAATGCGTCTGGCTGTCAACTGTTATTGCGTACTCACAAAGTGTCTTAAATTGTCCTGTTACATTTTTTATTGTTGCTAAATTTTTGCTAATTATGCGTCGCTCGTAATCAATTTCCACTCTAAAAGTTCCTCTGTCTAATGTCACATTTCCCATTTGTTCTATATATAGTCCTGGTTCCAATTTCTTTATAGTATAATTCGCCGTAGTTGTTCCAAGTATTTGCAACATGGTTATTAATAACAAAAACCAATATTGTAATTTGCCTGTCACTTTTTTCTTATTGTTTTTTGTTTGAAGTTGCTTCACTGTTGCTATGTTAATATGGTCAGGCGCATTTGATTTATTTTTGTTTGTTTCTATGCATTCATTCACCGGTAGCGGTATTAATGAATGTATCCCTCGTTTTTGGTCAGCTCCTTGTGGTCTCTTAAGTGTCACAACTCTTGTGGCACCATCGCTTCCAGGATGGATTTGTTTGATTCTTGCGATAGGCCATTTACTTGGGCTTATATTCTCGTCCTTAACGAGTACGACTGTACCAACTTTTAAATTTTCTTCATTCGCCTTCCATTTGTGTCGCTGTTGTAACTGATGAAGATATTCTTTTGTCCAAATATTCCAAAAATCTTTCTTCATTTTTTGTATGTGCTTCCAATTGCTTATCAGATTTGTATCAATGTTTGTTATTGGGTCTGGAACGCCGACTGCTTCACGACCAATGAGGAAGTGGCTTGGAGTCAACACTATATTGTCGTTTATGTTTTCTGTTTGAATACATATTGGTCTTGAATTCAAACATGCCTCAATTTGATGTAAAAATGTCGAAAATTCTTCATAGGTCAGTGTACTATCTCCTATAACTCTTCTCAAATGATGTTTCATCGATTTGACTCCAGCTTCCCATATTCCCCCGAAGTGCGGCGCTGCAGGTGGTATAAAGTGCCATTGCGTGCCTATATTTGTTAGCGTATTTTGAAATTGCAGTGATTGTGTGATTTCTAATATTTCTTTGTATAGAAAATTGGCTGCTCCTACAAAGTTTGTAGCATTATCGCTGTACATATGAGACACGTGACCTCTTCTGGCCATGAATCTTCGTAGTGCAGCTATAAATGAATCAGTCGATAAGTCTCCCACTAGCTCTAAATGTATAGCTTTCGTGGCAAGACAAACAAAAACAGCTATGTATCCTTTGTACGATTTATGACCTCTACCTTTCATTGATCGCACGTGAATTGGTCCGGCAAAATCACACCCTGTATGACTGAACGGGTATGATTGCGTTACACGTGGTTTAGGTAATGCTCCCATTTTTTGTTTAGCTGTCTCCGCTTTGTATCTAATGCACTTTACACATTTGTTGATGTAACTTTTTATCTTTCTTTTTCCGCTTAATACCCAGTACTTTTGTCGTAGGTATGATAACGTGAGTCGATTCCCGCCATGTAAAGTCTGTAGGTGTGCGTCGTGTATAATTATTGTTGTAATATGATGCTCATACGGCAATAATACAGGGTGCTTTTGATCATACGGTAGTAGTGAATTTTGTAGTCTTCCACCAACTCGTATTAGTCCATCTTCGTCTATAAACGGGTCTAAAGTCGATAATTTGCTTCCTTTCTTTAATGTCTGTCCTTTTTTTAACACCCAGTATTCTTGTGCGAATGCGTCTTTTTGTACTTGTTTAATAATGTGTTTTGTCGTATTCTTTAATTCTTCGCAAGTCAGTTGCTTCGATGTTTTTTGACGTCGTAAAAATCTCAAGCAGTAAGAAACAACTTTTATTAATTTTGAAAAACTGGAAAATCTCTCCCACACTTCGTTATTATTTTTTATTTCGACAGATGTTTGATGACAGTGTTTTATTTCTTCATGTGGCTCTGGTATTACTTTAGTGATGGTAACATTGTTTATATGAAGCCATTTCGGTCCGTTCCACCATAACTCACATGTTTGTAACTTATTGGGCTCTATACCTCTCGATATGATGTCTGCTGGGTTATCTGCAGACGCAACGTGATTCCAGGTAGCCTGCGGTAGCGTTCGTTGTATCTCGGATACTCTATTTGCAACAAATGTTTGCCATTTGTCTGCTTCGCCTCTTGTCCATCCGAGTGTGATCATGGAGTCTGTCCAACAATAGATTGTTGTTTGTTCGCAATCGAGCGCTGTTTTTACTTTCCTAATTAAGTTCGTTAATAAAACAGCTGCACATAATTCGAGCCGAGGCAAGGTCGTTTTATGCTTCTTAGGAGCTACTTTTGTTTTAGCTTGCAATAAAGTCACGTGATAAGAGCCATTCACCTTTATACGGCAGTACACGACTGCACCGTATGCTTTTTCTGATGCGTCACTGAACCCGTGTAATTCGACCTCTGTTTCGGTATAATAAATCCACCTTGGTATTTTAATGTTTTCAATGCATTTTAATTGATTTTGAATCTCAAGCCATTTTTTGTTTATTTCTTCTGGTACTGTGTCATTCCAGCCTATCCCACTGATCCAGAGCTCTTGTATCAACAATTTCAATGTAATAATGACAGGTTGGAGCCAGCCATGGGG